AGGAGCTTCATTGGGTGCTGCATCTGCTGCTGCTGCTGCATCACATTTTGGTGTCTCCGATGGAGCAGCAGCAGCAGCAGCAGCAGCAGCAACAGCAGCAGCAGTATCTGCTGCTGCAGCATCTGCTGGAGCAGCAGCAGCAGCAGCATCTGCTGCTGCTGCTGCTTCATCTTGTTGCAGTGGTTCTATATCTTTTTCTGTTTCTTTTTTATTTTCTTCTGTCTCCTCCTCTTCTGTCTCCTCCTCTTCTGTCTCCTCCTCTTCTGTCTCTTCTTCTTCTGTCTCTTCTTCTTCTTTATCTGTCTCTTCTTTTTCTGTCTCTTCTTTATCTGTCTCTTCTTTTTCTGTTTCTTCTTTATCTGTCTCTTCTTTATCTGTCTCTTCTTTATCTGTCTCTTCTTTATCTGTCTCTTCTTTATCTGTCTCTTTTTCTTTATCTGTCTCTTCTTTATTTTCATCTGTCTCCTTTTCTTCTGTCTCCTCTTCTTCTTCTGTCTCCTCTTCTGTCTCTTCTTCTTCTTCTTGCTGCTCCGATTGAGCATCAGCAGCAGCAGCAGCAGCAGGATCTGCTGCTGCTGCTGCTGCTGCTGCAGCATCTTCTGCTACAGCAGCATCTGCTGCAGCAGCAGCAACATCTGTTGCTGCTGCATCGCCTTGCTGCTTCTGTTTTTCTTCTTTGTTTGTCTCCTTTTCTTCTGTCTCCTTCTCATGCTCTTGCTGCTCTGATTCAGCAGCAGCAGCAGCAGCAGGATCTGCTGCTGCAGGGTCTGCTGCTGCTGCTGCTGCTGCAGCATCTGCTGCTGCAGGATCTGCTGCTGCTGCTGCTGCTGCTGCAGGATCTGCTGCTGCTGCTGCTGCTGCTGCTGCAGGATCTGCTGCTGCTGCAGCAGCAGGATCTGCTGCTGCTGATGCAGGATCTGCTGCCGCAGGATCTGCTGCTGCTGCTGCTGTTGCAGGATCTGCTGCTGCTGCTGCTGCTGCAGGATCTGCTGCTGCTGCTGTTGGTGCTGCAGCATCTGCTGCTGCTGCAGCATCTGCTGCTGCTGCAGCCGGGCTTTCTTTCTCTTTTTCATCTGCTGCAGCTTCTGCTGTCTCTTCTTCATTATCTGTCTCTTCTTCTCCTTCGCTGCTGCTGCTGCTGCTGTTGTTGTTGCTGCTGCTGCTGCTGTTGCTGTTGCTGCTGCTGTCTTTGTCGCTATCTGCTTCCTCTCCCTCTGTCTCCTCTTCTCCTTCGCTGCTGCTGCTGCTGTTGTTGCTGCTGCTGCTGCTGTTGCTGCTGCTGCTGCTGCCTTCTTCCTTATCTGTATCCTCATCTGTCTCACCCCCGCTGTCTCCTTTTTCTTCTGTCTCCTGCTGCTGCTGCTGCTGCTGCTGCTCCTGCTGCTGCTGCTGCTGCTGCTGCTGCTGTGTAGAGGCAGCTACATCATCCTGCTTTGGTGCTAAAGGCCCATCACCTGCTGCTGCTGCTGCTGCTGTTGCTGCTGCTGCTGCTGCTGCAGGAGACCCTTCGCTGCCCCCCTCCCCCGTTGGGGGCGTACCCTGAGAACTCATCGCTGCTGCTGCTGCTGCTGCTGCTGCTGCTGCAGTTGCTGCAGCAGTTGCTGCTGCTGCTGCTGTTGTCGTTGCTGCTGCGACGGTGTTTGTTGCAGTGTCTGCTGCAGCTGCTGCTGCAGCAACAGCTACTGGGCCCCGGACAGGAGCAGCAGCAGCAGCAGCAGCTGCTGCTGCTGCTGCTGCTGCTGCTACTCCTGCTGCTGCTGCTGCAGCTTCTTATTCCTTTAAATATGCTGAGCCTAGGAAGGCCTCTGCAGCAGGTAAATCCTGCTGCTGCTGCTGCTGGTTCTGCTGTTGCTGCTGCTGCTGCTGCTGCTCCTGTTGCTGCTGCTGCTGCTGCTGCTGTTGTATATTGTGTTTGTGCTGATTGCTGCTGCTGCTGCTGCTGCTGCTGCAGTCTTTGTGGGGAATATGTGGGCAGGTTTCACTCAAGACTGCGTTGCTGCTGCAGCTGCTGCTGCTGCTGCTGCTGCAGCAAGGGCCTTGCTGCTGCTGCAGTCGTTGCTGCTGCTGCTGCTGCTGCTGCTGCTGCTGCTGCTGCTGCAGCAGGGGATTAACATATTTTGCTGCTACATAAACCCCATCAATCTAATCATTAAAACACCCACAGGCTGAGCTTGTGCTGCTGGTGTCTGCTGCTGCTGCTGCTGCTGCTGCTGCGGTGGAGGAGGCCCTCGGGCGGCAGCAGCAGCAGCAGCAGCAGCAGCAGCTGCTGCTGCTGCTGCTGCTGCTGCTGCTGTTGTGGATACAAAAGGTTTTGTTTTTTTTATTTTTATTATACTGAAAGACAAATAAAGTTTATATAAGAAAAGAAAAACATTAAACTACTAGCTGCAACAGAAACACCTGCTGCTGCTGTTGCTGCTGCTGCTGCTGTTCTAGTATAATTAGGGTTTATATTTTTTGTGTTTGCTTA